TTTGAAACTTTGCTGACACCTACAGTTTCAAGAGTGTAAGTGTGTAGAGTGGTGTGCCTGCACGACTACAGCGGTGATAGTAATAGTGGCATTAGGAGTAGAGGTAGAAAAAGTGTGTAAAAGAAACTCAGGGAAACTCCTCCTTATAAAACAGACAGAAAATGCCAACTTAATAATTGAACCAATATAGTCTGCACTGTTCTGTGAATCTCTATATAATGTACTTTAATCTACTGTATGTAAGGTATAATCTTAAAAAAGACTCATAAAGTTTAATAGATCCTTCCATTTCCATTCTTCCAAATCCTGAACTGTATAGGATTTTGAGGTAATCACATTATGAAATGACTTATAAAAGATTGCCTTGTTGATAAATTATTTGATGGACACTGATGGTGTCTATTCCAAGAACAACGTGTAGAGGAAACATCACATCAAGGTGAAGAGAAAGACATGTCCTCCGTTACAACACTTACAACCTCTCTTTTCAGAGATGGGTGTGGACACAGCGGCACTGGCTGAGTCCCAGAATGTTGTTTTTTTTGCTGAGGGAAGTGCAAGCCATCGTCAAGGGCAAAGACCAGTGGATACAGCGTCTGCTTTGGAGTTAGGCCAGATGGCATGTGACACAATGGGAAAGACACTGCAAAACAGTAGGGCATCTCAGGGACATTAGACAAACATTCCCGTAAAATAAATTAATGTTTGTGCAGCAACAGTAATAGTAAAGTCAAAAACAGAAATAGAATAAGGCAGGTAGTTACTGGATCTAAAAAACATAATGAAATTATCACTTTAACTAGGCACGTATTTTAACATTTTCTGCTTAGATACAATCAAATAGAAAACCTTTGACGTGTAGAGAAGTTAAACTGGGAATAACTGTAAATATCATAGTCATAATCACAATTAGAGTAGTCCTGAAACAAGAAATCAGCCATGCACACTTTCATATATATGCATACAGCCCTGACTCTTATCATCACATAAAAAGCATGTGAATTGATAAATGACCAGTGTACTTAAAATGTAAGTTAATAAAAAAGATCTTGTACAGCAAATTACCATTATTCAAAAGTATGACTGAACAACACCAGAAGCACCCACACGCATGTTTTTGGGACAATTTTGTAAAGACTCAAAGATGTTTTTCAAGCAAAACAGGGAGTTAAACTGCCCCAGGGAGATACAGAAAAATGTCCATTACTAGCAATAACAACCAGCCTCCACCTGATGGTGCTACAACACAGTGTACATGAGAGGGTGAGAGACGTTGCAGTGCAGGTTGAGTCTTTAAATAGCAGTGATGTACTTGTAAATCTCAGCACTGTGGAATCATGAATCACCATCACACGGGAAACAGTTTAATCTACTCAGGAATGTAGAGCGCGGCATGCTGGCAATAAATATTACACCTTCATGCTACACCGTATGTCGACTGATGAACCACGACTTGGCTGCTGCAACGCAAAATAAGGAGGGATGGTACACATAATTCACCCATGTAGCCAGAGCACAGCTGCCCTGTTTCTTTGATATTTAATTTTTACTAAGTGTTCAGTTGTTGAGTCATGGCCATGCAACAACCTTGGGAATCCTCTACAGCATGCTAAATATTCCCAAAAGCACTCAGGAGAAAATTGGAAGTGCCTTTATCTATTTTGCTTATGTAACACCTTGCCCAAAGATATTAGAGTGGCTGACACAGCAGACAATTTTAAAAACTAAAAAATTATCCTTGTGACAAATCTTCCAGTTCCCAGCAGTCAGTTTATTCCCCTTTTTTTTTATTATTGTTTGGTGATCATTATGGAGTACTGATGTGGTTATAGTCATAAGATAAACTTAATCACATCTAGGCCAATTCCAAGATGTCTACGCACACTGAAGCCCTATTCAAAAATAATAATAAGCAATGAAGGCCTACAGCTGTTTCCAAATACAAAAATCATATTTTTTATTAAGAGCGGAAATATTATAAACCAATTGGAGTATTATATTTGTTTCAGAGGTTAAGACTTTTTAGTTAGTTAGATTTTAAACAGAATCTTGTGTGATTAAGGAGTCATCGAGTTTATTTCACTACACAACCCCTTCAACGTGTGTGCAGATGCCAGTCAATCACTTCAGGTAAACGGTAAATGAACATTTTTGCAGCTTCATCATTTTCCATATTTAGCACACTGAGTTTGGCTGAGGAGCTGGTGGAATCGGATCTGACCGAGCACCATTATTGTCATTGTTTTCATCAGTGATAGATCCCATCTGCTCCAGATCCTTTTTACTGTATGTGACGTCACCACTCAACTGTTCTTCATCACTAGTGTCAGCAGATTTATCCTGCTGTTATTTATGAACAAAGGCATGCACATTAAAACCTAACCACCAATTAATTGCCAACATTTTTTTGTATTTATTCTAGACATTTTGGATTTGAAGTTATAACTGTGCCACCCAGTTATGTGACAGGCAGGTTGAGCCTCACAGAGAACAGCCTGAGAGACAACACCTTCACAAGGTTGGAGCCCAAAATGAACCAGATAACTCATTACATAATAACAAGTCCATGAGTATGCAGGAAGATTATGGTAAACAAGTTGTTTAGTATTTTATTTGCCTTTCTCATCCTTTGTTTGAAGATAGTGTGTTTGTGAAATGTTAGCTTGTGTTAGCTTACTTTTTCTTTCACTAACAAGCTAATTAGAAAATAGCAAGTATCACTAGCCTTTATTACAACCTAGCAAAACACAGTTGTTGTCCCCATTTTTGAAGATAGCCTAAGTCTAAAAAAAACGTAATTTAATTTTAGCTAGCTAGGTAGTGAGCTATCCTTAGTTCACCACCTAGCGGAACATTGACGGCTAACACGGTACACACTGCATTAGCAGTGAGGTCGTTCAGGTAGCCAGTTAGCAGCCCAAGGTAAGTGCTAACTACTTAGCCCCGCTCCTTAGCAATCTCACTGCATCTACTTAGGCACACACACACTCACTTTTAACTTCCTAGCATTGTTGGGACATTATCCTGCTTTATCATGTTAGGCTTAATTATACACCAGATACACAAACTGTGACTAAATCCAGTAAAATAATGCAGTTCAGTGTTTTATTTTTTATCCTCCCATTATGCTTTATTTATTCAAGTGTCTAAGTGAGTGGGTATCTAAAAGGTTTGTGCCTGACAAAGACCATTTGACTCTACTGAATCAACCTCTACGAGAGCATCAATTTCAGTTTTTATGATGTGCACATGGCCTTGAATGTACATATGCATCTCTATGAGGGTCATTTCTTTGTGGAATTTGGAATAATGGATCTGGTTACACTGACCGCTATTCCACAAAACTATTCTGCCCCTGAGGCAAATCTATAGTGCAGTGGAGGCTATTGCACTATTTTGTTTATTACCTCCAGCTTAATAGATCCATTAGCATCAGGCACAAGAAAATACAAAGCTGTCACTCAAATGAATGCACAGTGAGACACTTAACCCACCCACAAACACACAATTATACAGAGGCACACAAACACTGAACGTTAGGGTTCATATTATTAGGAAAAAGGAAAAATGTCCTCAGAGGTATTGTCATTGCAGAGAGATTTTGAATATTCACATATAGCCACAGTATTGATTTTCACGCCATGCCGTTGGGCTTGACATGATGGAATGGATCTGATGGTAATCTGTTAGCAGAAGGTGTCTGTGGATATGAAATGTATGTATTCCTAGTCTTGTCACATGGTCTCTTTGTTGAGGGCTATGCTCCACGTTGCATTGCAACATCATTCTGCAGAAAGATGATGTTGCACGGGCGGGAGGGGGGGAATACATTAGACAGATAGAGAGAGAGTTTCTGATGTCAGTGCGTCTTCCCTCTGAAGTTGAAAAGTGGGCTACAGAGCGCAAATACATCATGTGAGTATGTGTACAATGAGATGAATCGTACGCTATTTTCATACTGATTGCGTGATGGATGTAATTAATTTTTCAGTTGCACGTGAGACATTTTTACAGTTATTACGTCAACAATTAAAGGACAACATGTTATAGTCTTCATAGAAGTAAGTGACATGCAGTAAAGTGACATATAGTCTAAGAAAATAACAATAATTTTGCAAAAATTATAAAAAGTTCTAGGTTTTTGTCGTATGGGTATCCAAACATAGACTAGTCACCATTTTTAATCCTATTATCTGTTCATTCTGCTTTACTCATCTGTTACTGAATGGCAACATCAAACAGCCCTGCATGCCCTCCTGACGTGATGGAAAGAGAGAAAGTGGTGGAATGAAAGGGGAGGGAAAGGACATGCAGTTTTTATGAAGCATTCATGTTGTTGATGTTTTTCTCCCTGTCGGCTCCTGACATTAAACATGATAGAAGTAGGCTGGTGTAGATGTTAACGTATGGCACCACGTTGCCTTGCCACCTTAACATCAGCCTTTGACAGTCAAAAAGTGACCACGCTGTGCAAAGAACCATGCCGCAGGAGAACAAGCACACAGATAATGTATATTAGACAGCAGCTCATATCCATTTCTATTTGACAAGCTTCCATCTATTTAACAACTCCTCTTTCTCTCCATCTGTCTCCAGGAGGGAGGTGCCATGAAAAAGCCATGGTCAGAGGGAGCCAAGACATGAGGGGAAAAAATGAATATGAAGGCATTCCACAGCTTCGCCCTCATCTATGTACCTCACTTATGCAAGACGCGGCGGCTATTGTGAAAGAAAAGCAGTTTGGCAGAGAAGAAAACTGTGGCGGAAGAGGCAGCGCAGCAGGGAGAGGAGGACATTTGACAGATTAAAAAGAGGGAGCTCTGCAGCAGGATCTCCACCGCGCTGAATACAGGACTGCGTGACTGGTCTGTGCAAGCAGAGGGAGAGAGAGAGGAGAGAAGGGAGGTAGGTAGGACAGAAAGAAGGGGGAGGGGAGGCAATTCAGCGCAGTGCAAGCTGACTGGGTGAGTAGCAGCCGCGGCACAGGCAGCAGCATCAGCACCACTAGCTGTAGCAATCCTTCTTTGTGGCTGCTGGAGGCTGTCTTGTGGCTGCCGTAGCATCAACATCATCCACATACACACTACTATCTGGACACAGGCGTTCCCTCTGCTTGCCTTATACACACACATGTCGTGGTGGCCACCAGAGGAGAGGTGGTGACTGACGGGGCTCAGGGGACAGAGGGACACAGGAAGAGGAAACAGGGACGACTGGTGGTAGTGCAAACCAGAGGGGGGCTGGAGCAACGGTGACTGGAGCAGCGGCAGCAACAGTAGCAGCGGCACCATGGCGCAAGCCGCCAAGCAGCTCCGCAAGACCAAGGACCTTGCGGAGGCCGCCGCCCAGGAGCAGAGGGAGAAGGAGGAGGAAAAGATAAAAAAGAGGAATCGATCCAGGGACCGCAGGCGCAAGGTATGGCTGTACTGTCTCAGGAGACAGGGGAGGTGACGGTGTTTCTTACATCCATCCTTCCTCCTCCACCTGCCTTTCTCAATCTCTCTAGCTGTCTCTCTCTCACCGCGTCTATTGTGCAAGATTGGTGAGGATAGAATTACACATGTATAATTACACAGTGGCCTCAGCTGGTGCGTTCGTGTGTGTGTGTGTGTGTGTGTGTGTGTGTGTAGGCTAACCAGTCAAGTGCATATACTCTGGTACAGGTTGTGTTTGCTCGGTCAGATATTTAGCTCCAGGGGAAGGAAAAGGAGGCTGATGATGATTGTTATGCCGTTAGAGGTGTGACCAATATAGGCTGTTGGTTAAATAACAGGCAATGTCATTTTTTTCTTTCACATGACAAACAATTTGGGGGATTTCAGCCCTACGTGGGTGCAGCTCATTCATATTAATGCAGTGCAAGTTCAGTGTACTGCACGTACGTGTATTTTTATGCATATAATCACATCACCTTTAACAGACTTTGCATGCTCTATTCTCCCCCCTACGAAGCTGTGCTGGTCTTAGATTTGGTGTCTTCCCCCATATTACAGTTTTTTTCATTGGGGGAGATGTAAAATGGAGGGGGAAGATGGAGGTACACTCTAATAATAGATGCATTTTTAACCCATCTTTATATCTTTTCTGGGGCATGTTTGTGCTACATGTATTGTTCAGTTAAGCAATCTATGCTAATGATTATATCATCTGCTGCTAGTAATGTTTGTTGTGTAGAATATTAATATTTAAATGTGTTGTCGCAAACTAGGCACACAAGATATCATCCTGTAGGCATGAGAGCTCTCATTTACTCACCTCTCCCCCTGCCCTCTCCCACTTTAGCTGTGCCTTTAGGTGCAGATTTTATTGGTCGTGCCGCCTTGCACTCGTGCTTGCCAGCACTGAAATGATTTATGGAAGCGCATATTATCTCATGAAAGGTACTTGTTGAATGGATAAAAAAAACTTTTATGAATTTTATCCCTTAGTGGAATTTACAACATTATGCCATGTACCAATGGGCTCTGTGTTCAATGCAAGACATGTGTTTTCTGTTCCTCCTGCAATATTTCTGTGTGCACATATTGATGTTGAGTTGGTGACAACAGAGGACAGACAGATCTTTTCATATTCTCTTGTGTGTGTGTGCGTGTGAAGAGAGCATTTGTCAGAAAGACAGAAACACGAAGAACAGAGCTCGTCCAAAAAAATGGAATCTGCAACGAGAGCTGGGGTGCTCATGGAGAGCGTTCACTTTTCTTTAGAGAAGTTACTTGATGTACTTTCAAAATAAACCACATTGTTTGTCCTGACCACAAAGCAGTAGGGTTTGCTAAGCGTTTCAGAGGCCATACAGTAGGCTCTCAGCAGTATGTTCAGCGCTTTTTGCGGGTTTACTTTTTGTCGTAAGAACTCTAGTTAGCTGTATATTTTTGAAAAATAGGCCTCCATGCACTACCCTTAAATATTCTCTCATTCTTTATTTTTAGTGTAGAACAATGTGCGGAAACGGATGTAATTAGCAAATCCTTCAATTATTGTTATGTAAAACATGAAATCTATAGTTTGATCAGTAGAAGGGCACTTACAACAACAGTTCCATAGAAAAACGGTCAGATGGCAAAAAGATGAAGATTACATTGTGATGACACTTTATTATTTGATGATTACATAACTCTATCATAGATTGGATTACACTGGACAAAGCATAACTTGTTCTTGTCATTTCCCCCTTTTTATTGTGTAACAAGGCTAATTTCTAAGGTCGGCTTAAGTTTCAACTGTAACTATGACTAGGCAGTAAAAACAACTTTGTTAAGGTTTGTAAGGTTTTAAAATGGTTATGTGTTATAACTCTGAATACACTGGGCTGAGAACTGATGATAAAATGGGAGACATACCTATTGCAGTGTTTCCTAGACCAAGGGCGACCCACCATGGTCTAATTTCCCCCGCCATAATTTCACTACGAACCAAAAATACATTTACACGTCTCTCTAACATTGGGTTTTGCGCCGTTGCTTCAGCAAAGGATCTCTCACTCAAATTACATACGTATACGTGCTCGACCAATTAGTGGACAATCTCCCCTCGCTCTGCCCCTCTTACAGCCTACTGACAGTCACACTGCTCTGCAGAGAAACACAGAGAGACGCTCTCTGGCGCAGATACAGTGTTTATTTTACAAGCACGGACCAGGTAAAGCAAGACTGAACAGCAGTTAACACGTCATTTGGTACCAGTACAATTTATTATATTTGATTTTGGTAGACAGAAGCAGGTACAGATATACACATTTAGTCATTTTATCTATAAATGGTTTCTTAGTTGAATATTCTTAAGCTGCAGTATAAGTATGTATATATTTGTGTTTTAGATACACGAGTTAGTTCAGTTACAGTTATAGTTAAGTGAGCAAGTATGAAATAGGGGTCTATTGTTGGTGAGTAATGCTACATTATGTAGATCAGGTAGGCTTTTTTGTCTAATTCCTTCTGTATCTTTTGCTGTGTTTTGTGACATTAAATCCTCTAGATTTGTGATTTGTGATTATTTTGATCTAGGCAGGCTCTTCCTCTTTAAAATCCTTAGAGACCTGCTAATAATAAAATGACACACGGTATAAATAACTTAAACTGATGACATGATACGGCTGTGGGAACATTTTAGTCACTATTACTGATCAAAATGAAAAACTAGATTACCGAGCCCACAGTCACTGCAAGCCCAAAACTATTAATGCTATTTTACCCTACAGTAGATATCATTTGATGTAAAAGATCTAAAAGGCCATATGAGTGCTTACTCAACGTCACTGCACTTAGTAGCCATCTTCTGACCTTATGCTGTTAACATTGGCTGCCCATGTTTTATTTTACTGTTCAAAAATCAACCAAGCTGTTACGTTTAAGATTTCATTAATGGTCATTTGATTCATAAACATTCCCCATCTCAACTGGCTCATTTGTAAAGACTTAGGATGAAGTTAATTTGGATACACGAAAATATGCAAACCGAAGCACAATTTCTCAGTTCATCAAAATATAATTAACGGTCTCTTAGGTAAAATATTCCTGTAGTAAGTATAAATCAGCAAGAGTGCTCATCTAATTGTATCTTTGTTCACTCTAAAGAAGAAAAGAATGAAAAAAACAACAACATCAGTGTTGTTGTATTGTCCTCTACAGGATTTCACAGCTTAAGGCGCATTTCATGCTGCAATAAGGAAGAGTTTGTAGCAAAAAACAACCCATCTCTGCTTCACTGCTTCTGTCTGAGTGGCCTCTCTCCCTCACTTTCACCTCAATCATCCACCATGCCACTTTGTCTCTCTGTTCACTGTGTATCTCTCTCTGAATCTGTCTTTCTTCCTCCAGTAGATTGTTGCCATGCACCAAGAATGAGTGAAGAAGCAAGTCAAAGAGACAGAAAGGGAAAGTGAAGGCATAGGCAGGTCTTAATGTTCTGGGGATGTTAATTAGCTCCATTCGATGTAAATCAAACTCGGCAGCATGGCTTCTCTCTTCCCTACTCCTCCCCTTCCACAAAGGTCATCTACTACAGTGCTGACAGAGATTCTATCATAAGTCTGGATGGACTGAACAGTAATGTAGTTAGGGAATCTAAAAAAGAAAGTGTAAGGGCCGTTCTGCTAGCTCTGCTGGTTAAGGTGCATGCCATACAGCTGCAGAGTCTTAGTTTGGAATAGATCTTTGTCATCTACTTCAGTCTCTCTGTCTGTCCTCACTGTCTTGAGGCACTGTGAACAGACCTGATTGTTAATAGGATAACTGCGAATTTACTTGTGTGCAACTGCATTGCTTGTACACATTAATATTTTTCTCCTCAGTCTAAAAAATAGCTATAAGTTGCTCATCAGAGGAATAAAGTCAGCTGTCTGTTTGAAATACAGCTAAATGTAATGCATCGCATCATATGTGGAATAAATTGTGGAGTTCAATGCTTGGCTGCATTGACAGTATGTATTCTTGCCTCACTGGCTGTAGCAGTACCACTATGGATTACTATCTGACTGTGGCCATTATGTCTTGCATCATTGATCTCTGCTGTGTGTTTACTAGAAACTAGTCACAACACTCCAATGACCAGCATTGATTTATGCTGCAATGAATTAGGGATGTCCCGATCAAGTTTTTCTGGCCTTGATTCCGGTCTGAGTCCTTTAACACTCAGTATCTACTTACACTGAGTCTGATCAGAAACTTATATTTTACTAAATATTGATTCAAATATGATCCTTTGGCTGTGGGGTTGGCCCGGCTGGCAAAGGAGAGCGTTGCCATCAGGTGAAGGTGGAAAAAAGTAATTGGCTGTTGTTTTAGCCAATACTGATCCATTAGAAATATGCCCGGATCTCTACTATGAATACAAATCAGTTTAAAATTTCCAAACGCATGCAGATTTGGTCTCATGGATTGCAGCAAAAAGCCTGCAAATTTAAATTCTAGCTTAGTACACTACTAAAAAAGTTGGAAACACACATTTGGACAAAC